CGTGTGCAGTGCCTGTGAGTGCTTCCTGTGGAAAGGCAGGCCGAAAAAAATGACAGGATTTTATTTGATTTCTCTGTAGTTCTTCTCAGGGTTTATCTTGATGTAAACTTGAAATATTAAGATAGCCAGTACAATAAGAAATCAAAAGAATGGGAGACATTTAAAAACTCTCTATATTCTAAATTTCTCTTTAGTATTGTAATAATTGTTAAAAAAAAAAAAAAAAAAAAGGCCGGGCGTGGTGGCTCACGCCTATAATCCCAGCACTTTGGGAGGCCGAGATAGGTGGATCGCGAGGTCAGGAGATCGAGACCATCCTGGCTAACACGGTGAAACCCCGTCTCTACTAAAAAATACAAAAAAAAAAAAAAAAAAACTAGCCAGGCGAGGTGGCGGGCACCTGTAGTCCCAGCTACTCGGGAGGCTGAGGCAGGAGAATGGCGTGAACCCGGGAGGTGGAGCTTGCAGTGAGCTGAGATCCGGCCACTGCACTCCAGCCTGGGCGACAGAGCGAGACTCCGTCTCAAAAAAAAAAAAAAAAAAAAAAAAAGTTGGCCCTAGGTCTGCCTTTATAGTGTCCACATTAATTTCCTAAATTCTCGATTTCTAGTAAGTCAGGGAAAAGTGCAATTTCTCTAACAGGCAGCCAGATCAAGGATGCGCTCACCCTGACATTAGATGGAAATCACTTTCAAAAGGCTGTTGACTACCAGAACCTGCCTTGTTATGAAGTTGTTATGAACAAATAGAACCGCTAGGTGGAGCCAAGAGTTTGAAGGAAACCCCAGAAAAAGACATTCCCTTGTTTCGGGAATTTTTAACATTTATAAAAGTATAGAAAGTCAAAGACCAAACACGCTCGTTTGGGCAGCTATGCAGTGTGATTAAACCTTTCCAGTTGGACGGAAAATACAGCTGTCTTTTTTACAGAGTTGAAGTCAAATCTACGTGGAGCTTTTTACCTACAAGTAATGGACAAGCTCCCGAATCCAACATATTCTAGATGAAATGGATCCCAGGACGGAATGCTGGAGAGAACTGCGTATTCCAGTTACAGGCCCTTAGAGCTCAGTGGTCAGTAAACACTTCTGCTTCAGGACAGCTTCTTCTGCCAAAGTGGGAGCAGAGCTGAAAGGAAGAGAGAACGGGTTACTCAGGGAACCCCTGGGGTTTGGGGGAGGACATTCATGTCTCCATTAGTGCCATATAGAGCATTTTGAGGGTATAGCAGATTACAGACCTAAGTCAGTATGTAGTAACACCTAACCTGGCAATGTGATATTCTATAGAAGGGAAATTTCTGGATAAACACTGCTTATTTCATTTTGAAATAAAATACAAAGATAGCACGATTTTCTCCCTTCTTAACAAATATGCCAAACACACTTAACCATTTCTTAATGAGTCAGGGTTAGTATGAGTATCAAGAACAGTGCTGTGCTGAGCACAAGGGCCACACACTCAGGAGACAGCAAGGGAAGCAGGCTGTTCTCTGCTGCTGCTTTTGTTTTTTTGTTTGTTTGTTTTTTTGTGAGACAGGGTCTTGCTCTGTCGCCCAGGCTAGAGAGTGCAGTGGCATGATCACAGCTCACTGCAGCCTCAACATGCCAGGCTCAAATGATCCTTCCACCTCAGCCTCCCAAAAGTAGAAGTAGCTGGGACTACAGGCCTGTGCCACCACGCCCAGCTAATTTTTGTATTTTTTTTGTAGAGATGGGGTTTCACCATGTTGCCCAGGCTGGTCTCAAAACTCCTGGGCTCAAGCCATCTGCCCTTCTCAGCCTCCCAAAGTGCCACAATTACAGGCGTGAGCCACTGCACCCAGCCCTGTTTCTTTACATATTCCTAGATGGCTGTGTCTGTGTTCCTGCACCAGTTAATCTGTTAGAGCTGTGTGAAAAATAAAAAGACATGGGCTCTGCATGAAGGCTCATGAGTTTCTGCTATCAGTGAGCTGCATGAGTTTAAATGCAAGGACGTAACGATATCTAATTTGGTTTCATAAAAACTTAAAACATGCTGAGTCCTAAGGAGGCTCACACCTGCAATCCCAGCACTTAGGGAGGCAGGAGAATCGACTGAGACCAGGAGTTCGGGACCAGTCTGGGCAACAAAGTGAGACGACGTATTTACAAACATATAGATGTAATTAGCCAGGTGCGGGTGGTATATGCCTGTAGTCCCAGCTACTTAGGAAGCTGAGGCAGGAGGATTGTTTCAGCCCAGGAGTTGGAGGTTGCAGTTAGCTATGATCATGACACTGCACTCCAGCCCAGGTGATGGAGAGAGATACTACCTCTAAAAAAGTTTAAAACGTAAAACGATATCAAAGTACATAATACAAAGGACATAATTTAAAATGTCGAAAGTGGTAACAAGATTTATAAATGAAACAGCAGTCACCCGTACCATTCTATTCCTACTTCAAGGGACATCAACTGGTTCTTTTCCTGGTATTTTCCTTCACTTTTCTGTGTACCTGTTTCTCAAAGTGTGGTCTCTATAATTTGCGAGAAATGCGAATTCTTAGACCCCACCTCAGATATACTGAATCAGACTATGAGGATGGGGCCCAGCAGCCAATGTTTAAACAAACCTGCCTCCAGAGATTCTGCCTCACAACCCCTAAAGTTCTAACTGTTCTGGGTGATGTGTTTACACAATGACTTCCTCCTATGGACTATGAACGCTTACCCTTCTTCCACCCTCTCCCCAATTCCACAATCCTGCCTTCTCATCTTTTCAGCACAGCTATATGACCAATTTTGATCATGTTAAAATTCAGTGTTTGTTGTAATTATGTAAATACTTTCACAGCTATCAGTATATTTCATGTTTTATACAACTTTTATTTTCCCTGGACTGAATAACTGCCTCTTTTTGTTGTTGTTGTGATGGCTTAGTGGGTATTTGTTGTGGTTGTTGTTTTTTTAAGAAGCGAGGTCTCAACATGTTGCCCAGGCTGGTCTTGAACGCCTGGTCTTAAGTGATCTCCTTGCCTCAGCCTCAGTACTTCTCAGTTTTCTATACAAATCTCTCATCTATCCGTAACCTCTCAGGTAAACCATGGACCTCTGCTCAGTACATTCAGACATATAATTTTTTTAAAAAAACTGCAGGGTGGGGAACCTGTGTTTTTCTTGGCAAAATCCTTTCTGCAACTCTGTATCTTCCTTTCTGAATCTGGACAGGATCCTTTCTAGACCCACTGGGCAGTTACCATCTTGGAACTTCCCTTCACCTTTCTCTGGGTAAATCCCTGCACTTCTCTACTGCTTCCTGGGTCCCATGACTTCTTTTTAGGATAAAAAAGAGGAACATATCTTCCAGTAGCTTCCTGAGGAAGGCTACGTGGAAAGTATATATTTTAGGAAAACTGTATGTCTAAAAATGTATTCTAATCTCACACTTCACTGATAGTTTGGGAAAACTCTAGGTGAGAAATTACTGCCCTCCAGGATTCAGAAAGCACACTACTCCATTATCTCCAGCTGTCAGTCAAGTCTGCTGCCATTCTGATTACCAATCCTTTGTACGTACTATGTTTTCCCCCTTTGCTGGAGACTTACATCCTCTCTTTGACCTCCTAAAGATTCATGATGCTCCTTGGTGTAGTCTATTTTCATTCTCTGTGTTGGGTACTCAGTAGACCCCTTTAATCTAGAAACTCAAGTCCTCTGTTCTGAGAACGCCTGACTCCTTTCTTTGACAATTTCCTCCTTCCACTGACTGTTCTTTCTAGATCTTCTATGATTCATATATTGGACTTCCTAGGCCAATCCTCCAATTTTCTTTTCTCTCCCAGTTTTCATCTTTCTATTCTATACTTTTTGGGAGACTGTCTCAATTTTATCTTTTATACACTCTCTGGATTTCATTTTTAATATAGTTAATAATTTCTAAAAATGCTTTTTTTTTTTTTTTTTAAAGTTTCCTGTTACTGTTGCATGGATACAGTATCTTCTCTCTGAATTTAGATACTATCATTTTGTTACCTTTTCTTTTGTTATTCACATTGCCTTTTTTTCCTACTTCTATTTGTCAAAATTCACATTGCCTTTATTTCCTTCTTTTTCAGTTTACCTGTTCTGGTCTTTCCTCACATATCTGACAATCGTTAGCTCTCTTTGTATTTAAAAGAAAAGCTCTGGAATGTCTCTGGGACCTGTGTATATATGGGCAAAACTCATCAACGAATGGGCTCCCTGGTGATTATCTGGCAGATTCCTGGCAATTTCATCAGAGGATCCACAAATGTATGTGCAGGCCTTTTTCTCTTTGGTTGGTTCGTTTCTCCAGAGAATAAGCCTCTTACTTTTTCAACTCAGACATTTATACTTAGCTAACACCATTCAGGAAACTGAGAAAAGAAGAAACATTGGAAATTTCACCCTTCAGTGTGTGGACTTTGAGTTAGTCTTCCCGTGTTCAATCTGCAGCCTTACTCCAAATGGAAATTCCCAGATCCAGAGCCTCTCTGGCCTGGCTCCTCCTGAGGGAACACTTCAGAATTATGCTAAAATGAGCAAGGGTGGTGGGATGGCAGATGGGTGAAATGGGCATAAATACTTTCAACCAATCCCCATATTCTCAGCCCCACCTTGTATCCCATCTTCACAAATATCTGGTACCTACAATTTCGTTGCCTTTTCAGGGTTCTGCAATGTGAACTGACTTGCTTTTTATTTTCTGTTTCTACTCCCTCCCCTATTCAGGCTTAGATTTTAGTTTACTCTACTCTGCTAAACTGGTTACCACTTATCATTTAGCTGCTTCCCAAAACTTGTTGAGATCTCTTAATTGCTGATGTCTCCTCTCCTGTTCTTTGTCCTCATGATTTGATGCCTTTGAAACACCGTATTATGCAGAAAACACTGCAAAGTAAATCTGAATCTGTGGAGATGGGACCCAGTCATCATTTTTAAAAATTACTATGACATCCGTATATTAAAGCACGTAAGGCATGAGTCTACAGCTTGAACAACTTTTTGCAAATTGAATACACCTCTGTAATCAGCACGTAGAATATGAAACAGAACACTACTAGCACTCCCAAAGCTTCTTTTGGGCTCTCTTTTATTCATCAGCACATCAAGGGTAACCATTATAGAGTTGTGCTTCTGTTTGAACTTGACTTTGTTTATCCTTATTACAGTGCAGAAACTGCAAGATGAACCCCAAAGATCTCCATCTCCAGCCATTCACACTCCTATATAATCTCTGGCCCTTGGGTGTGGAAAGGACTTGTGACTTGCTTTAACCAACAACAGAATACAGCAAAGGTAAAAGGATGTCATTTCTGTGATTAGACTATACAAGATTGTGATTTCTGTCTTACTAGCAGACTCTACTGCTTTCTCAGTTTGCATGCTGGAATAAAGTAAGCAACTACTTTGGAGAGGCCCACATAGTAAGGACTGAGGGCAGCTTCTTGCCAATGACCAGCTAGGAACTGAGTTCCTTAGTCTAACAGGTCTTCAGATCCTGAATCCTGCCAAGAGCCCTGGCTGGTGCCCCTTCTTCCATTGAGCCTTCAGATGAAAACCTAGCCTTCACCAATATTTGACTGTAGCCTGTGACAGACCCTGAAGCAGAGAACCCAGCTCAGCCACATCCAGATTCCTGAGCCACAGAAAATGAGATTATAGTGTGTATTGCTGGAAGCTGCTAAGTTTGTTGTAAGGTGTTGCACAGAAGTAGAGAATTAATACAATTATGTTTATGTGATTCATCTACACTGGTATATTTTAGTTGTAGTTATTAATTTTCACTGTTCTTTTCTAATATTTAGTCAACTGCTAATGTGCATTTAGAAGGTTTTCAGTTTGGACTATTATGAATATAGGTGCTATAAAAATTCCTGTACATGTCTTTTGATGGACATATATTCATATTTCCATTGGGTATGTACATAAAAATAGAATCACTGAATCACTTCGTATGTTCAGCTTTAGTAGATATTGCCAAACCTATTTCCAATGTGATTACTCCAGTTTACAGAGTTTCAGTTGCCCCGTATCTTCACCAACACTTGGTACTATGTATCTTTCATTTTAGCCATTCTGGTGATAATGTAGCACTGTCACATGGTAGTTTTAATTTACATTCCCCAAGACTAATCAAGTTGCATACTGTCTAGAATGCTTACCGGCCATTTGGATATCGGTTTGTGAACTGCCTATTCAAGCTTTTTGCCCATTTTTCTATTATGCTATCTTTAGCTTACTTATTTGGAAGAGCTCTTTATAAATTTTAGATATGAGTGGGTCCTTTGCCACACAAAGTTAAGACTGGGGTTGGGGAGAAAGGAGAATGGAAGGGGTGAGAGAAGGAGACAGAGACAGAAGGGGAGGGATGGAGAACAAATGTTTTCTCCTATTCTGTGGTTTCCCCTTCCATAATATCTTGAAATTACATCTTTTGATGAACAAAATTTCTTGATGTAATCCAAGTGATTTTTTTCCTGTAAGACTAAAGCTCCTTGTGAGCTGTTTTAAAAAATCTTTGCCTATTCTAAGGTCAGAAGTAAGTTCACTCATATTTTCTTCTATTAAGTTTATTATCTGATGTTTCATATTTAGATCTGCAATCCATCCAGAATAGATTTTTGCGAATGGTATGGAGTTGGGTCAAGATTGTTTTTTTCCCACAGGAACAAACTAATCTGTCCGGCTGATTTACTAAAAGACCATTCTTTCCTCACAGCATTGCACCATCACTTTTTTCATAAACCAGAAAACTGTATTACACATGAGTTTGTTTCTAGACTCTATTCTGTTCCACTGATCTGTAATTTTTATCTCTTTAAGCCCTTTATTACTCCTTTCCATGAGTTTTAGGAAGAAACAGAGATAAGCTCTGCTTTCATCTGCAATTTTTAATTTGAAAGTCCTTAACAGCTCACATTTTATTGTGTAAATTCAATTACAAAGCATTACCATCAGGTTCTCTGTATGCAGCTCTATTTTTACAGTAATAATTAGTAGGCATACAAATGCTTAGAAAAATAATCCATCACATTTGTATAAAGTGCTCTCTTACTAGATGTAAGCTTCTCAAATGCAGGTCTCTCATCTGTCTTGTTCACTGTTACCTTCAGTGTCAGATATCAGTCAATGCCTGGTCCATCATGGACATTCAATAAGTGTTTGCTGAGTGAGTAATATGCTACTTTAAACACTGTGAGAACAATTTTTAAATTAAACTGAATTTCTTTCAAGTTAATAATCTCTAATAATTCCCCCCACCTTTCTCTAACTAGGAAAGCATGTATTTCAGCCGACCCACATTTTCAAGAGGATATGTGAAATGGGGGATATAATCCCCCATATGTGAAATGGGGGATATAAGAAAAAAAGGTCTGAGGTAGAAGTGAAGGCAATTCTAAATCTTTTGTAAAACAGGTGCAGTTATGGTTCTAGCAATCAAAAGTTGAAGAACCAGATGCTGAACAAAAAGCTCTAGTTTTTGAGTCTAGTTTCTGTTTGTAGCAAGCAATGCATTGAAATGAGCTCACAATATGTGTCGGTAAAGGCATCTCAGGGCTCTCACCCTGGGAGTATCCTCCCTTACCCATTTGTACTGCACCTCTTGCCCTGTGTTGACGGGCACCATCATTCATCACTATTATAGTAGGCATGAGCATAACAGTAAAGCAGCAAAGGAAACAATACAAATTGATTTTAAAACAAATATTAAAATTTAAAGATAAGCCTGTTAATATCTTCAGCAAAGACTTGATAAAGAAATGCTAATAGAATCTACTTCATAATTTTGTAGAAAATTGCCACTGACAAGAAAAAGCCACTACACTAAATAACAAACAGAAAAAAGATTTATCCAATTTCAATACAGTTCAGTTAGGGAAGAATCAACATTGCTGCTTTAGTGATAATAAGTTTTATTATTTTTTCCTCCTAATAGATGCCTAAGAACTGCAATTGAGAAATAATTTTCTCACCTGGTCACAGCATCTACCAAGAATGGTGCTGGGGGAGAGATCAGTGAGATTCCATCTTTATTACCATGTCCCTCCTTCCCTGCCAAAAGCATTTCACATCCCGCAAGTCCATTAGACACGGCACCGCTCTGCTGTGGGAGATACACACACATCTAAATACAGAGGTAACAATACCGGCCTGGTCAGCACTTCAGCTCCAAATCAAGCTTCACTAATGAATATGAGAGTAAGTAAGATAGTTTTGATAATTATGGCTGTTTTGTTTTGTTAACTATTCTTCATCTCAAACTTTTACTTTTGTTTCTGCCAGCATCCTGACAAACACTTACAACCAGAAAGGGTAAGCCACTAGCTTGAAGCCATTAAGTTCAGTTAACAAGGCTTTGGTAACAACTCTCACATTTTTAAGGAAAAACAAAGAACCCAGTAATCCTTTAGGCCTTACCCTGAGAGGGTAGCCAGAAGAAAAATCACAAATAACATGAACTTACCGGAACAATCCACCGGGGTGTGATCATGGATGTGGAAGACACCTAAAATAATTTTATGTATTTACTTTTTGGAAAGACTGACTTATTTTCATACTTATAATACTTACATCTATTACGAAATCCATTCTAGGAGGGCAGTTCTTAATGGTGTTCCTTGAGCTGACGTGGACTTCTAAATCCAAGACCCTTTTCTATTATACAACACAGATGCTATCCGTCACCACTTAAGAAAGTGTCATAATTTTGAGAATCTCTTATCTAAAAATTTACCATTCAAGAATCTACTACTACTTTCAGTTCACTTAATAGGACTGCCCCTACCCTACACCCAGTATTCAGTTTAACATTTTATTCTCTGAAATTTCAGTTAATTACAAATAATGATAGCCTTCTTGGTTGCAGCCTGAACAATGGATTGTGACTAATCCAAATAAACAGCACAAAGAAAGTACACAGAAAAAATAATCTGTTTAGATACAGATCATTCTCTAATTATCATGTATGCATGAAGAAAGCAGCAATAAAAACACCCATATTGCTCCTGGTTCACAAAGCCTTTGATATATTATTTTTAAATGTCTAGCTTTCTATTACAGATCTTCTATGTGTAGAATTATAAACTAATGAAACCCACCCATTTTACTAGTAATTTAGACTAGTCCTTGCATTGGTGGCCTTAGATACTCATGAGAAAAAAACCAATGTAAGTCCAGGTATTAATAAATTAGATAACCACCAAAAGAATAAAAACACAGGCTGGGGCGTAGTGGCGCACGCCTGTAATCCCAGCATATTGAGAGGGCGAGGCAGACAGATCATGAGGTCAAGAGATCAAGACCATCCAGGCCAACATGATGAAACCCTGTCTCTACTAAAAACACAAAAATTAGCTGGGTGTGGTGGCATGCGCCTGTAGCCCAAGCTACTCTGGAGGCTGAGGCAGGAGAATTGCTTGGAGGCGGAGGTTGCAGCGAGCTGAGATTGTGCCACTGCACTCCAGCCTGGCAAAAAAGCGAGACTCCATCTCAAAACAAAAACAAAAACAAAACCCAACCCACAAAGTATGACTTTCCTACCAATATTTTTTAGATGCATGTTAACAGTAGGAAATAAGAGAAAAAAATATCATAAGTAGTAAACAAAAAATAGTTTGACAGACTTTTCCAGACTTGCAGTTAATTCTTATCCTTTGGTAAAGTCTCTGTTTATTAATCTACGCTGGTCATTCCCAAAGGGTGGTTCCCAGACCACATCTGCATCACCTGGGAACATGTTAGAAACACAACTTTTCAGACCCCACCCAAGATATACCAAAATTAGAAACTTGGAGGTGGGGCCCAGCAATCTTGTGTGTTAACATCCCCTCCAAGTGATTCTGATATACACAAAAATTTGAGAATTAATGATGTAAGCAAACATTCGGTACCACAGAAAGTATCATCTGTATTTCCAAGCCTTCAGGATGGCAACTAACCGCTACAGCAATTCTTGTCATATCACTCATAAGGTACAAAGTTAGTCATTTCTTTTTTTTTTTTTTTTTTGAGACAGAGTTTCACTGTGTCACCCAGGCTGGAGTGCAGTGGCGCTATCTTGGCTCACTGCAAGCTCCATCGCCCAGGTTCCAGCAATTCTCTTGCCTCAGCCTCCTGAGTAGCTGGGGTTACAGTTGTGCACCAGCACCCCCGGCTAATTTTTGTATTTTCAGTAGAGACAGGGTTTCACCATGTTGGCCAGGCTGGTCTTAAACTCCTGACCTCAAGTGATCCACCTGCCTTGGCCTCCCAAAGTGTTGGGATTACAGGCATGAGCCACTGTGTCCAGCAAAATTAGTCACTTCTATCTCTCTCATCCCTGGAGTAAACTGTTTCAGTTGGCCCTCTATATCCATGAGTTCTGCATCTGTGGATTCAACCAACTGTGAATTGAAAATATTTGGAGGGGGAAAAAAGGATGGTTGTGTCTGTACTGAACATGTGCAGACTTTTTTTCTTGTCATTATTTCCTAAACAATACAATATAACAACTGTTTACCAGCATTTACACTGCATTTAGGTATTAGAGGTAAGCTAGAGATGATTTAAAATATACTAGAGGATATGTGTAGGTCATATGCAAACACTACACCATTTTATATGAGATTTAAGCATGCGTGGATTTTGGTATCCAAGGGGAGTCCTGGAACCAATCCCCCACAGGTAGTGAAGGACAATTATACTTAATAGAGTATCTTCCAGACTGTAATAATGATTGATATGTTCAATGCCATTCTTATGCTCTCATCTTTCTGTAAAACTTTTTTAAAAATTAAATATATCCTTATTGTCTTAAGAAGCTGTTTTATCCCCATGTTTTCTCTCATGTTATTTAATATGATGTTGAATTATAAAAGGCTTATAGAGACATGTGATTTCTATACAGTGATACACAAATTCAAAGTGGTAAAATTTTAGGACAGAGAGGCAATGCTAAGTGGTTACTGAAACATAAACTCTTATCAAATGAAAAGTTTAACCATGAATTATTAAAAAGGAAAAAACTGGAATCTAGCAGGAAACATTTTTCAAAACAGAAGTTTCTTTCCATCATACTGTTTTAAAGCACATTTACCTGAGGTGCAACTGTGTGATCAATCAGATTCTCGGTTAGAGATGCAAGCAAGGCATCCAATTCATCTGTAGCCTCCTATGGAAGACAGGAATCTAGAGTTGTTAAGTGACCCCTTTATCATCAGATGTTAAGTTTTTTCCATATCATCTCAATTTATAATTCTGACACAGGCCTGATTAGTGTTAATCCTTTAAACACACAGGGACACTCATGAATCATGGTTGTTAATGATTCCACTTCTGCATGGAGGGAAACCTATACTACAGTCAGGATGTGAAAAAGCTAAACTGCTACGTAAATTTTCAAACAGCTGTTCTCCTAGACAAAACTTGGGTAGGGTTATGACTATTCTGGCTCTTAACTTTTTAATTACAAAAAATTTTTTTTGGCTGGATGCAGTGGCTCACACCTGTAATCCTGGCGCTCTGAGAGGCCAAGGCGGGAGGATCTCTTGAGCCCAGGAGTTCCAGGCCAGCCTGGGCAATATAGTGAGACCTCATCTTCACAAAAACTGAGCAAAACTAGCTGGGCACAGTGGCACCCAGCTGTAGTCCCAGCTACTCAGGAGGCTGAGGTGGGAAGATCACTTGAGCCTGGGAGGTAGAGGCTGCAGTGAGCCAAGATTACACCACTGCACTCCAGCCTTGGTGACAGAGCGAGATTCTGCCTCAAAATGAATTTTAAAAAAGTAAATACAGCCAGATGTGGTGGCTCACGCCTGTAATCCCAGCACTTTGGGAGGCCGAGGTGGGTGGATAGTGAGGAAAGGAGATCTAGACCATCCTGGCTAACATGGTGAAACTCTGTCTCTACTAAAAATACAAAATATTAGCCAGGCCTGGTGGTGGGCGCCTGTAGTCCCAGCTACTCAGGAGGTTGAGGTAGGAGAATGGTGTGAACCTGGGAGGCAGAGGTTGCAGTGAGCCAAGATCGCGCCACCGCACTCCAGCCTGGGTGACACAGCAAGAATCCGTCTCAAAGAAAAAAAAGTAAATACAATAAAATAATTTAAAAAATTTTTTTTTGAGACAAGGCCTTGCCCTGTCCAGGCTGGAGTGCAGTGACACAAGCATAACTCAGTGCAGCCCCAACATCCTGGGCCCGAGCCATCCTCCCACCTCAGCCTCCCAAGCAGCTGGGACTACAGGTGTGTGCCACCATGCCCAGCCAACTTTTTTTATAGAGACAGGGTCTCACTTATGTTGCCCAGGCTGATCTTGAACTCCTGGGTTCAAGTGATCCTCCTACCCTGGCCTCTCAAAGTGCTGGGATTACAAGTGTGAGCCACTGTGCCCAGCCTCTTACCTTTCAGACTAGAGGAGAAACGTACTACTCTGTATGGTAATATCACACTCTGAACTTACAAACAAACAAACAAATAAAAACCAATAACAAGTCAGCACAGGAGACAGTGGATAAAGGAGATGCCTAAATTCCAAATGCTCCTTTATCTAGACTTATGGGTGCTTCTGTTTGTAAAATACTACAATATGAACTCTCTCCCTATAAATGTTAATGAATACTTTTGGTGAACCAGTACTTGAAGTACCTTATAGAGGACACAATTCTCTACTGTGAGGGAGGGGGTCTGGGAGAATGTTAAAACAACAAAGGATAAAATGCCAATCTGGCAATAGACAATAGGAACCTAGGGCATAGCACACAAGAAAAAAGGGCCCTTCATTCATACATTTCTTTCTTTCTTTCTTTCTTTTTTGCGGGGGAACATGGTCTTGCTCTGTCACCCACGCTGTAGTGTAATGGTACAATCATAGCTCACTGCAGCCTGAATTTCCTGGGCTTACACGATCCTCCCACAACAGCTGCCCAAGAAGACAGGACTACAGGCATGTAAAACTATGCCTGGCTAATTAAAAAAAAAAATTTCGTAGATATGGGGTCTCCCTATGTTGCCCAGTCTTGTCTCAAACTCTTGGCCTCAAACCATCTTACCGACTTGGCGTAAAGTGCTGGGATTATAGGCATGAGCCATCACACTCAGCCACCCATTTACACATTTCCATTTCTGCCTATATGCCTTCAGGTCTTGGAGAATCTCCTATTCATATTTCAACATGCAACTTAATTTAAACCACAAAAACATGAAAAATTGTTCTCCCTCCTT